TCTTTTCCTTCTCGTTTTTAAAGACAAAATACTGCAATGTACTCTCTGTGTGTGGTCAGGTCATTAAATATCAATATTCTGACTTTAAACCTTTATAAGTTTTTTTTGGGTACACAATATATATATATTATTATTTGCTGCTTTCCTCCTTGGTACACAATATGTATATATTATTATTTGCTGCTTTCCTCCAGGGAAATAAGAAGCTGTAATTTATTTACAGCAACCAACTTGTGCTGTAGCTATTGAATTTAGTCACTGACCTTAAAGCAAAAACAAAATTGCTCTTTTTCAACTTATGTCATCTACATTATGAATTGCCAAACAGGAAGGTAAAATTTCCTTTCCTTGGTATCAAATTCATGAAACTACATGTAGATATTTGCTTATATTGTGCTATACTAAGGTTTTACTAACCACACTCCTCTGTACTGCTCATAAAACTTTTGAAGGCCAAACAGAATCTCTACCATGTGTTCTCATGCCTCTGAATTGATACTGAGCAAATAGGTTTATTCTACTCAGCCTAATTTCTAGGCCTTCCAAGCAAGAGGAATTCTATGTGCTGTGTTTTTTCCAAGTCAAAATGCTTGTCCTTGTGATTCTCCCACTGTCTGCCTTTTCTACCCTATCAGAAATACTTCAGTGGCCATTAAGAGCCTTCACAGATGGACACCTTCATCTCAGATATTCTTTTCACATAATGATTTGGAAAACTAATCACAAATTTCCCTGTGGTTTCACTCATCACATCTGCTCTGCAAAAACACTGTCATTGGCGTATCCTTCCTGCTTCTTGCTCCTTTGATCTGAGTGGATTTGGGATGCTTGAAACTGTATTTGGAGAGGGGAGTCATGACAGAATAGCTGCAGTATCTTCACCTTGCTTTTCCTTTTTATAGAGCAAAATATTAATTCCTGTCAATATGTAACAGACTTGATTATTGTTTGGCTTCTTAAAAAAGCTTATATCTTGCTGTGTTTAGGTATAGATATAATTATTCTTGGGAAGGTTTAATTTCATGTCATCAGTTGTCATAGTGTTTTACTACTGGATATGAATATATATGAATATATATATGAATATGAATATATATGGGCTGTTCAGGGAGGTGGTGGATTCACCATTCCTGGAGGTTTTCAAGCTGAGACTGGATGTGGCACTTAGTGCCATGGGCTAGTGACCACAGTAGGGTTGGACTTGATGATCTTTGAGGTTTCTTCCAACCAAAGGTTGATTCTATGATTCCATATTAAATTCTGCTGTAGCTCCCTTTTACCTGTTTCTATTGCTATGTTTTGCTTTAAGATCATTAGAATAGATTCTGCTTCTGGCTGTGTGTCTGTACAGCAACTTCTACAGAAGATACTGGGTTGGTTTGATCTTTTTTGTGTAGAATGGTAACAGTAATGGTAGTAACTCCAATCTCACCACGACTTCTCTATGTTCATATATTGGAACAATGCTATATATAGTTTTCTTACAGAAGGAATCACTGTTCTTTCTAACACCAAACCCCAGAAATACCACACATTTCTTACCTTTCTCTATGACACAGTGCTTGCTTTGATGGTTTCTTTTCATGTTTCTTACCTTTCTCTGTGTCATAGTGCTTGCTTTGATGGTTTCTTTTCATAATGAATAAAGGTTAATCTGAGTTTTTCTTTCTCTCTCTCTCTGTCACATGGACTCACTTGTTCTCATCTTTTCCAGATCAAGGAACTGTACAAAAAGTTGTAGTCCTGCCCACCAACTTCTCTGCAAGTGGAGAACTCATTTTAGAAGAGCTGGAGGTTTTTCAGGTTTGGCTTGCTTCTGCTTTTACTCTTCCAATGTGTATGTTCACACAAACACTTTGTTCTAACAGACTTTGGCAAGGGCAGCTGTGACCTGATGGAAGATCAAGTAAATGTGCATATTGTCAGCTTGATAACCACCCAAAGAGGACCATGAAATGTCCACTGTTATGAGGGCTGTAGCTAGCCGAGGGTTTTTTTTTCTCCTATATTTGAGTTGCCTATATTTTAGGTTGTTATATTGGCTAGAAGGATTTTGATAATCACATTTTTATGTGATAATGTTATAGTGGCTGCTAGAAGCAACTTTGATCATTGGCATCATGTATTGAGACTGTCACTATTTATGGATAGAATCTAAGATTTCTGTACTTTGATTATCTGATAATCTTCCTGATTCTGAGCTGCAGAATGGAATCAAACTAGTGTTGTTTTTGCTTAACTCTAGTTCCTCAAGGCCACATGCCTCTGGAGTCAAGAAAGCTGCAAGCTTAACACAACATAAGCTGAAAAGAAACACAAAAACTACAAGGAGAAATAAGGGAATAGCCTCTGTCAATCACTCTGGCATGTAACAGCTTGTATAACCTAAAGAAAACGTTCCCCCTCATGTTGAAAAATGCCTTTCAAGTGTTTGAATGGGCTATTCATTAAACAGTAATCTCAGGGCAAATGGTAGTAGGTATCTATAAACTTAGTTAAGAGTTTTGTCATGGGCTTTTTTCTATTTCATTGAGGGAACACAAAAAGAAAAATTTAAGCTTTTTTTTTCTTCTAGGCAGTATGAACATTTTCTTTAAGGAAAAGAGTCCGCTCTGTGTTAACCCTCATAAAGGCATAATTAGCCTTTCTAGGCTTTTGCTGAAGATTTCCCTATAAAGAAGATATATTTGAGCAATATTACCTAAAACATATCCATCACCAAAGTGCTGCCAATTCCATTTACTGAAACATTAATACAGCAAGAAGATAGATGGGCTGAGAGGAATCCTCACTCTAAACCTTGTTTCTGGGCCTCTATGCACAGACCTTTTTATCCTGAACCCTAAAAATCATTATATCATAACCTCTATTGCTGCAATCCATGTGGGCAGCATGGCAGGACTTAGATGAGTCTTGCCAAGGGAGCAGGGATGAGATCACTGGCTGTGTGCAAGTAAATATGGAGTGGAGCAAAGCAGTGATTCTCTACCAGAGCATAAGCAAGGAAAGGAGAATGTGGCATCAGATCCAATGTTGCATTTGACCTTGAGTCTCCAGACAGTTCATGAAGTACTGCAGCAGCTCTAAACTCCTTCAAAGCTCTGCCAATTCACATGATTCACAGCCAGAATTTTGAGGCCTGACCCTCCCTGCTGTGTTGTAGTCCACTGCAATTAATCCTAGCCCACTGTTATGTCTTTCCTTTGTGACATATGTATTCCATGAAACTTATTAGCAAATGCTAAATCTTAAAAAAATGCAGAACATTTTTATTACCATCAATTTTATCACTTGTTTGGATGAGCATAATGACTTGTATCACTTGCTTAAGGCATGGAATGTAATAATTCCATTCCCAGCTCTTTAACATTTGATTTGGACACAGACACTAATAGACTGCTGTGATGACACACAGTAGTATACAGTACTGTCCCTGGGAAAGAAACATTCTATAACATACATGTCATTTTTAATATTTTAGATATTGATAATCTGAATTTATATGTTGGATGGTAACCAAACTGTATGCACTTAGATAACTTGTAGGAGAAATATGACATAGTCATATCTGGATCATGTACATACTCATGAGCTATTGTATGATTTTTCTTTATCATCAGTTTCAAAGAACAAACATTTTTCTTATCACAGAGTGAGGGTAATGGCTTCAGAACACATTGCTCCTATATTGCTGAGGTAGCACAGATGCAGGTTAATTAGAAGTGTAACAAAACCATTTTGATGCACATAAGTAATAATGTCGTTGAATTTAGACAATATGTTCTGTGAGACAAGCATATATATGTCATTTGTTTAGCTCTGAAAATAGCAAAAAATTGATAGGAGTGAATAATGGCTTTTCAAGACATGAAAATGTGTAGTTTTCTTAGAGATGATTTAGGTCATATAGATCATATCACTTGGTGATTTTTAAATTTTAATGTTGGGACAGTATTAAAAAGATATTTCTTGACAATCTGGTTTGGAACTTTGTCTTTCAGAGTAATTCTCCTATAACAACAATGAAGATTTCATCTAAAAAGGTAAAGAAAAGTGAAATGATTACTTATTGCTTATTCACTGAGAAGCAAATTGACTTAAAGCTGTTAGAACAGCAGTTCTTGTGCAGCAAGATAAATATAGGGAAATTTTCCATAATGAGTATGGAAAACTTGATTGCAGAGGTATTTATATGCCCCAGAGCCACTAAGATAAAACTATTTCCATTCATTATGTCTCATTTCTAATTCGCTGAAGATGCCAATTTTTTTGTTGTTTTGTTTCGAAATCAAAGAATTTTAAAAAAAAAAATTAGCAAAAGGGGAAATTTGCCTTGTCTTTTTTATTTCTCAAAGTCCTTAATAGAAATTTTCCCACTGCAAGTCTGTCTGATCAATTTAAAAGGCAGTGTTGGAGCTGTTGTGTCCATGGTACAATTGTGCATGTTTGTTTATTAGTACTAAGTGATGGCAATAAGAATGATGAAAACAGCTGAGAGGATTTCTGCTGAAATGTTAACCACCCAAACTAAAAACATGTATTTCATGATTTTGAAAGCAAGATGTTGCTCAATATTTTGCAAAACTAAGTAAACATTATTCACTAAATTGAATTCAGTGTAAATTTTTATGACCAAAATTTCAAAGGAGTTTCAAGGTTTTTGTTCAATTTAAATTTTAAGCATAATCGATGAATTGTTTCTGAGTAAAACACTTGTTTGGGCCCAGATTTGGGTAATGACCTATTCACTTTGAACTTCTTTTGCAAAAGCCCTGATTTATTATGAAAGTTCTTTTGGCTTATTTTGCCAGGTATATAAGGCTATCAGAATCTGGCCCTAAGCCTCAACATAATCTCTAGGTTTTATATCTTGGAAATCTATGCACTGGAGAAATCCAACTAGGAACTCTGCATAATATTTATTGAAGTGACTATGTGCAGAGAAAATACTTAGTTCAAAGGTTTGAGCCAATAATCCTCACTGAATAAGACCCAAATTCTCCAATCTGAGCGATATTAACTCAGCCTGGCTGCCCCAGAACAGAACAATGGCACTCAATGTCCAAAAAAACCATTAACATTCCCCAGTGTTTCTAGGTCTTTTCTAGCAGGAAGGTAGAAATAACATAAGCCTGTTCACCCGGAAGATTTCTGTTGATCTTGACTTTATGTATATTAGTGGCTCCCCTCTTGGTCTTGAGTTCATTCCAAAATTAATCCGAAGGTTTTTAGGGGTGTTAGCCAAGTCTGGGGTGAAATTCCTCCACATCTGAAAGAAATCTTTCCATTTCCTTCTGCAGCAACAGTTGTATGTGAGCTCAGATGAAGGAGTCACCCAGGTGTCCTTACATCGCTGCCACATCTACGGCACAGCCTGTGCCGACTGCTGCCTGGCACGGGATCCCTACTGCGCCTGGGATGGCAACTCCTGCTCCAGGTTTTATCCCACAGGGAAAAGGTGAGCAGTATTAAGCAGCCCAGTGAAGTCTGCAAGGAAAGAATGTTTTTGTTCCTCTGTGTAGCCTGGAGTGTTGCAATCTGATGGAGAAGTGGGATGTCATTCCTTTCCTGAGCATGTACAAACAATGCCTCCATAGCTATTGTGCTTGGAATTATTCATCACCTAGGACTGCATGCTGCAAAAATGTATGATAAAGAGCTTGGCTTTTCATATTTAAAGTGATGGACAAAAAAAAAAAAAAAAAGAAAAGGGAAAAATGGTTTCTAATAAATATTAATCCTGTCTCATGCACACAAAATCAGTAAAAGATTTGTTCTCTTTGTTTAATTTCAGTTGCTTAGTATGGATGCAATTATGAAAGCTCTAAATACAGTTAAATACCCCTTGGGCTGTCTCAGGAATAAACTCATTTATATTTTTTTGTTCCTTGTTTCCTCCTAAGTGAGAAGAATTATTTCCAGGGAAATTTTAGACAAATGCGATTTCCATGTAATGCCTGCAGATTTGGGGGTTTTGACATGAAATTCATTAAAGCAGACAAGAAAAGCAATTTCTTTTTAATTTACAACAGAGCTAATAGTCCATCTCATAATTCTTATGCAAAACAGGAGTCTCTTTCCTTCTCCCAAGGGAAATGCTTAATAGCATGAGGCTGTAGTGAGCTCTTGTCTTACTCAGATTTCACTTCATATACAAACAAAGTCACAGAATGCACAATGAACTATTACTGCAGAGGAGACAAACCTTTCAGATGTATGCCCCCTACAATTTACTGAAAGGAGGTTGTAGCCAGGTGGGGGGTGGACTTTTCTACCAGGTACCAAGCAAGAAAACAAGAGGAAATGGCCTCAAGTTGTGCCAGGGGAGGTTTAGCTTGGATATTATGAAAACTTGATTCACTGAAAAAGTGGTCAAGCATTAGAACAGGCTGCCCAGGGAAGTGGTGGATTCACCATTGCTGGAAGCATTCACAAAGCACACAGAGTGGTGCTTAGGGTTGTGGTTTAGTGGTGGATTTGGCAGGGCTGAGTTAATGGTTGGACTCCATGATCTTGGAGATCTTTTCCAACCCAAATGATTCTATGGTTTTATTTTATGATTCTATGTTATAATTCTGTGCCAGAGCTTTACCTACTGTGTGCCACTGTGCTCACTGCTTGCATCCAAGCTGCAGGTGCAGAAGGCCAGATGCAGTTACTGGGTTTTAGTCCTGTACCCTCATGGAGGGAGACAGTAGACAGAGGTTGGAGTCAGGTGGGGGTTGGTCTCTTCTCCCAGGCAACCAGCAGCAGGACAAGAGGGCACAGACTCAAGCTCTGCCAGGGGAGGGTTAGGTTGGAGATTAGGAAGAGATTTTTTCCAGAGAGAGTGCTCAGGCATTGGAATGTGCTGCCCAGGGAGGTGGTGGATTCCCCATCCCTGGAGGTTTTCAAGCTGAGACTGGATGTGGCACTTAGTGCCATGGGCTAGTGACCATGGTAGGATTGGACTTGATGATCTTGGAGGTCTTTTCCAACCTGGTTGATTCTGTGATTCTATGATTCCTTCTAAATAACAATTTTGAATGTATTTATTTCAAATAATTATTTGGCATTATTATAATTTGTATAATTTGTATAATTATAATTTGTATAATATATGATAAATTTTGGGTCCTCCCTGAAATTCAATCACATTAAAATTGAAGATATTGTCAAAGAAGGAAACAATATTTGTCAGGTTTGGGCACCTTAATTTCCAGGACAGATTATTTGTGGATGTGTAAGAGGGGCAATATGTATAAGCATATTTGAGTTGGATTAACTCAACCCTACTGCTCCATGTTAGGTCACAGACTCTGTTTCTATTTGCAACATGCATGTGTGGATGTTCTGAAAATATGGTTTCAGTTGCCTGTCCTACAAGTGGTATGAGGAGGATATTGAATGTAAATGTGACCAACTGCTGATCCTATGATTCTATGAAAGCTTGGATCTGCTTGAGTGTTCCAAACAGCTGCTAACAATGCCATCCCCTGGCATTAAAGCCAATTGCTTTTGTTATTGCAAAGTTTTCTTGATTCATTCCTTATTTGAGATTAAAAGGTAAAGTCCAGCCTGGCCATACAGTAATTGGTAAAGTACTTGGGGGTTTTACTGCTTTCATTCAGAATATTCAGCCACCAGTCTGCAGACTGATTGTTTTCTTCCATGGAACAAAGGTCAGAAGAGGGTGGAAGGAAAGAAAAGAAAAATCCCCAAGTCTCAGGCCACCTGACTCCTACACTAACATAGCTGCCAAAAGGAGCAGTCAGGTATACTCAGTCTGTGCAGTTTCCAGTGCCATCCCCATTACACACACCCACCTGGGGTTATTTCCACTGGGGCTTGCTTTCACATTGACATTTTGTTTGCAGTTTGCTCTTTATATCAAACCAAAACAAACACCTGAAACTGTCTGGAAAAAAAGATCTGTTTTTCATATGTGTAGGAAATGAGTTGTCCCTTTATCTAACAAGACAGATTATGAAGGAGAAAACATTGGTAATTAAAGCCAAATCCCATAGTCTAGACAGTCTTTTCTGCTGCATGCATTTGCTTATTTGCTTCTTTTGACACTTCTGTCTCCAGTGAATTACTGTGGCTCCTCACAAAACACCTGACAGTATTATCATTATTTTCAAACCACCACTTTTTTTTTCTTTTTATAAATATCAAACTATAAGTTTACATTCTCAGAACTGTTTAATGCAAGGGACATGCCATTTCTGACAGCATGGAGCAGCACAGGAATCCTGAATTTCACTCAGAAATTCTTCACTGTCCCCTTTGACTTACATAAATAGTTCACAAGGTTTAAGAACCTAAGGCATAAAATGAAATGGTTTTGGTGGTAAACATCAAAACTATACTTGGAATGCCAGAAATTACTCCTCCGAGACATCACCTTTCAAATGTTTCCTTTTAAAACAATGCAGTGAAGGATCAGGTGGCAGGGGATTATAAACACTGTCTCTGGGTGTTTGTGCACTACCTGCTATAATGTGGCTGTAGAGGCATCACCCTTCACTCAGTGGTCCTGGAGCTCCAGGGGCTTTTTGTGGATTCTGATCCTGTGAGTCCTTAGTGTATGGTTCAGAATGCAGGTGTCACATATCCCAGCAGAATCCATTTGCAGCAATCTATCAACAACATATCTTTTTGTTGAACCTGATAAATACTGAACTAACTTACCAGAATATTCAGCAAACAAAATACTACATATCAAGAATATGAAATTTGGATACCAGCTTTTCATGCACTGAATTCTATGAGCTATGACCTCCTAGCTGAGTAGGACTGAAATATCAGTATTCCCAATCCCAGTTTGCTACAGAATCTTGATTTTGCATCTGTCATCCAGGTTATAAAACCAAGTCTCCATTTAGGAGTATTTGGAGACTTGGTGAGTTTGACTGTGCTTTGGAAATAGTCATATCCCCTCAAGTAGAGGCCAGAACAGAATCTTAGCTCTCCACCATTCTGGATGAATTCTTCAGTCACTCTGCTACCAAGGTGGCTATAGGCACCAAAAAAAAAATAAGGTGCCTGCTGAAATCAAGGAGGGAACATGCACTCTATCATACTTTTCTGACAGGGCATTGGATATGAGCACATTTTATTCACTTCAGCAAACTGATTATTCACTTAAAACAGTATCTTCACTCCAGCAAGACTGCCAAGAGTGAAGCACACTCACAGTAGGTCATGAACTATCCCTAACAGTTGACTTAGTAAAAAAGAAAAACAAAACCACGAAAAAAAAAGAGAAGTGTTTATTTGCAGTGTAACTCTGTTGGAATAACCTTTTGTTTTTGCAAAATATTTCAGGAGGAGTCGTAGGCAAGACGTGAGACATGGAAACCCTCTGACTCAGTGCCGAGGCTTCAACCTGAAAGGTACTATAATTTGGAGATCCTCATGCTATATAAAGAACACATGGATTTCCTTTACATGATTCATCATAATTCATTTTATCTGTGTGGTTTACTGGTAAAGCATCATTGTTTTCCAACTGTGAGCTTTGTTTTGATTTGGTTTTAAGATCTTTCCTTGCAATTGCATGAACCTTGCATATATCTGATAAAATGCTGAACCATGAAATACGTAGTTCAACACGCCAGAAAAGAGAGGCTGACACTATTGACACTGTTGACTAGAGCAGGTACAGTTAATTTGATGTCTTTTATGCTTCTATTTCCCTTAAGTCTTTATGAATGCCTTTTTATTCATTTAAGTTGTGGACCTCAGAATTTTTCTGAATATTTGATGTCATATTGAGTTTTGGATTACACTTTTCAGCAGACATCAGGTTCTAGGCTTGTCTTTTGAGCTTTGATTATTCCTTTATGTGGGAAAGCAAATCTTTCCAAATTTCTTTATCAAGTTTCTTATTTCAACCCCATACATGTCTGAGCTAGGTGGTGGCAACTTTTGCCATCAGAACAAGGACACACATCAGAGAATTATGTTCCTTTCACCTCTATTTATGAGTCTGGATTTTGAAGTACATTCTTATCTGTACCATCTGGAGACCAAATAACAGACCTGATTGTAAATTTTTTATCCTTTTTTTTTTTTTAAAAAAAGACTAATGCTTTAAGAGTTACAAGTGAAAGGTTCTGTCAATAATAATTCTGCTGAAATGGTCTCCACTGGCTCTTGGAAGAATCTTCTGGAGCAAAAAAAATCACATCAGTCCATTGGGTGTAAGTCCCTCAGCTCAAATGGGTCTTTCCCCATGACTCAGTATTAGGTTATTTATATGAAGCTGAATAGCTTGAACAGGTAATTATACAAGGTGACCCCAGGTTAGTTTATGCACCTGAGATCCATATTGAACTTAAGATCTGAATCATGAAGCAACCTGAGCTGCATGTGCTGTGGCCTCCCACCCATTGTCTGTCCCTAGGCTGGGTGTCTCCTCATTCCATATGGAAAATGTGAGAATGTCAACTGTCTGCCTTCTGGGCTGAGGGGAAACAAATGTTTCAACCTGGACAGTCTTGTGAAACAGGTTTCTTATTTTCCAACCACTTTTTTTTTCATGTGGATGTATTTATGGGCTGATATATTTTAGCAGCTTTCTAAAGGATGTTTCGGAGGCAGCAGTGGATTATAGCATAGGTAGATGGGCAGTTGTTTCCCCAGTGGAAAAAAAAGATAAAAGGAAACAGCAATTTAGACTCTTTCAAAATATAATTAGAGACATATATAACAAAACTTCTATGTTTGGGGAAAAAATGAAATCTACCTAAAGGGCAAAAGAGCAGAGAGCCAAGAAATAGCAAGAAATCTTCCAAGTTCATAGAGAACCATCATGTTGAATTGAAGTGTTTAAACATGATAGGTTGTGTGCCTTAGACTTCTAAGCATGTATAAACTCAATTTTTTTGGCATATTGTAAATTTTAAATCGTAGAGTCACAGAATCATAGAATCATGAAGACTGGAGAAGACCTCTAAGATTATCAAATCCAACCATTAACGTGTCACTCCACTGGAAACCCTAAACCCTAAACCATGTCTTCCAGCACAGATCCAGACACCTCTTAAACACTTCCAGGGATGGTGACTCCACTACCTCCCTGGGCAACCTATTCCAGTGCCTGAACACCCTAACAGGGAAAATATTTTCGTAACATCTAATCTGAGTCTCCCCTGTCTCAGCTCAAGGCCATTCCCTCTATCCTCTCCCTGCAGCCATGGCAGGAGAGACATCCCTCACCTCTCTCCAACCCCTGTCAGGTAGTTGTAGAGAGCCATGAGGTCACCCCTGAGCCTCTTCTCCAGGCTAAACAAATGCAATTCTCTCAGCCCTTCCTCATGCAACATATTTTCAAGACCTAATAGATCATCAAGAACTAATTGTCTTACATGATTGCCTTCCAATGTCTGTTTAATTTTGTTATGCTTGTGCTAGTCCTTATAGCCATTAAAGAAATGCATTTGTGTTCTCTCTATCTTTTTCTTAGCATGTATAACTAGTGGTAGTATGGAGTAGTAGGACATTAGATATATACTGATCAATTAAACAAACAAAAATGCCTTTCTGTGGTACACCTTGTTCCAGTGTACATAAAAATAATGATGTGGTATACCTCTGATTCTCACTGTTCCTCAGCTACAGATAAATAAGTTATTTGCTACCTTATGGTCTTTGATTGCAAAATATTTCCATATTATTCTCCTAAAAGTTAGAATTGGTTTTGGTACGTCATAAATATGCTAAAAAGTTTGAAAGACTAGAACAAGGCAAAGTCTCCTTCCCTTAGTGGAATAGATTCCAATTTCACATATCAGTTGATGAAAGAAGCTGAAAAGAATGGGAGATAAAGTAGAGTCTGAAGGAAACTAGTCTTAGGACTGTGCAAAAACAGAGTCAGATTTTAGACATGTAGACCTCCAGGTATTTACATTTCTCATATTACTTGATATCCATTGCTCCTTTCTCATAAATGAGTTGTATTTCATATATGAAGCAAGCTTTTAAATCTGGAGGTGTATTGTTTTCAGGACAAATATGATTTAGACCAAGCAATAAGCATTGAAATGTTCCTGTTGGTGACTGCCAATTGTTCATCTATTGAGACTTTAAAGGGACACAACAAGTCCATGTGATGACATATACTCAGCACTTGCCCAGATGTTGCTGGAGTGCTATAAAACTGTCCTGCTCTCTGTTGCAGGCCTGTCTATGTAGTCATCACATTTCAGATTGAGAGCCAAGTCCCTTCCTTGTTTTGGAAGAGAAACAGAGGAGCAGGAGCCCAGCCTGCCCTTTCTCTCCTCCATGTGATGCTGCAAGCAGCTGGAGGCTTCTTTAGAGCATGCTGCTGTGTTTTGGGCATACAACCATATCCCCCAGCTCATTAAAAAATGTGTTATCCCATCTTAGCAGCCTATGGGCATCCTACTTTCTCAGAACAGGCCGTGTCGCATTGGAAACATTGGTATTTGGTACTGAATGTACCTCTTCACATTTCACTTCATGCCTTTCAAACTTTTTTCCCCCTAAATTGCTGATTATTGCCCAATATCAGAATCAGATACACTTCGTTTTATCTGTGTGGCAAAGTTGCTTGTTTTCTTTATCAAATTACCATTGACAGTATCCTGACCTGTTTTCTTTTTCTTTCTAGCATACAGAAACGCTGCAGAAATAGTTCAGTATGGAGTGAAAAACAACACCACCTTTTTAGAATGCACACCTAAATCTCCTCAGGCTTCTATTAAATGGCTGCTGCAGAAAGACAATGACAGGAGAAAAGAGGTGAGTAATGTGAGCAGTAGCTCTGGGAGGATCCTCAGTAAGCATCACAAAGTCTCTTCAGGTAAAGGTGAGGCACTCTGTATTTCCATCAGGCAGTCTGGATACAGTGGAGCTGGAGAACTCCTGTGGGTGCAGGACAATGACCATTTACTCATCTGAATAAGATCAAACTCTTCAGTGTAGCTGGGACTTCATCTTCAGCCCCAGTGATTTCTGTGAGACCAGAACAGCTAGCAGAAAATTAAAGGATTTTTCCTTCACATCTTACTAATGGCAAACTGAAAGTCTGCAGCATTCAGAACTTCTTGATCTAAGGAAATGGGCACAAAAGCAATAACCTGTATAAATTTCAGGAAGCAGTCAGCATGCTGTAGCCCCTCTGTGCTATTGAAGAGCTAAAAGTCAAAAATGGAAGAAATGTGAAAGATTTCTCCAGCAAGAAAGAAGTCCAGGCTAAGAACACGTATTGACAAAAGCATTTCCTCACCATGGTGCAATCACATTTTCCATTACTGCACTCTCTAAGGCTCTCAAGTTTCAGCACTGTAATATACAGTATGATTGTTTATGGGGAATGTGCCTTCCTTAAGTAGTGTAAAAGGGGGAAAAAATCCATTTCAAATCCGAGGCAGTTATTGTATGAATAAAAAGAAACATCTTTCAAAAGGAACTGCTAAGTAATGAGGTGTCTGTTGATAGATTGTAAATACTGAAAAGCATTATTTGCCTATTTTCCAAAAACAGAGGGGACTTACAAACCTCTCACTGAGTTTTCTCACTTACTCTGCAGAGTCTCAAGCCATGTCCTGGCAAGAGGTGAAGTTCTTTAGCCCTTTCCTTAAGAAGTACATCTCTTTTTTTGTTCTTATGTTCAATAACTGTATAAGAAGGCAGTTTCAAATAACAACAGGCAAACTAAAACAATCAAAGGGTTCATTACACTTCAAGCTCTCAGATTTCTGGAAATCCTCCACAATGTCTACAAAGGTTTGCAACATCAGAATAATATAATAAGTAAAATAATTCCCACGATAATCAGGTATAATGCAAAATGCAGTAGCAAAATAGAAATAAAATACCAGAACTGGGGTTTTTTTTCATAATGGGTTGAACTAGCAATTTTTACTTCACAACTGATATGCAAAGGGACATCTGCATAGTCATTTATAATCAGATGATAACTCAACAAGCTGTGGTAACCTGCTTCTTTCAGGTGATGTGACCATCTCCTGGGACTGTCCAGAGTCTGAAGCCAGAAAGGAAATAGGAGAGTAGAATTGCTCTTAGTTTCCAATGAGCTGAGTCCCATCTGAGGCCACTGCAGTGATAATTTTTATACCAGGCTATAGACTCTGTAGAGAAGATAGAGCTCCTCAGAAGTTAGCCCCAGGAACCTGTTCAAAATCAAAATTTTTAACGAGAGGCTACCTTGTGTTGAATGCCAAATTACCCCCTCAATTCTGCACCTTTATTCCAGTGAGTCTCAGCAGCATCTCTGATGCTGGAAGAGACATTCTTAGAGGGGAAACCCTGGCAAATAAAAGTTCATTTCTTCAGCTCTGCTATTTAAACTCATTTCATGTAGTTCCCAAATTTTCATCTTTGTCTTCATCCTGATCATTGTAATGTAAGGACTGCAAATATATAAGTCATTTTCTTTAACAACACTTACCTTGTGGTAAACTCTCTAATAACAGTAACAATAACAGTGATCTCTGGGAGATAAATATATAAAAATATAATAACTTTAAAAAAGAAAGTTGTGCTTAAAGTGAAACTTACCAAAAGGTCCAGTAATGTGTCGTTCAGTCACACTTCCTTCTGCTTTTTTGCCCTTTAGGTCAAGTTGAATGAGAGGATCATAGCTACTGAGCAAGGACTCCTCATTCGCTCGGTGCAGGACAGCGACCGAGGACTTTACCACTGCATTGCAACAGAGAACAGCTTCAAGCAGACCTTAGCAAAGATCAATTTCAAAGTGCTGGATCCAGAGATGGTGGCTGTGATGACTGACAAGTGGTCCCCATGGACCTGGGCCAGCTCAGTGCGAGCTCTACAGTTCCACCCCAAGGACTTTGTGGGAGCTTTCAGCCACTCTGAGATGCAGATGATCAACCAGTACTGCAAAGACAGTAGACAGCCAGGTCAGCAGAGGGAAGAATCCCAGAAGATGAGAGGGGACTACAGCAAACTAAAGGCTCTTATCAATAGCAGGAAAAGTAGAAATAGAAGGAATCAATTACCTGGATCTTAATTTTATTTTGTAGTAGTAGATATCTGTCCTCAATGTAGGGGGCTTATATTTGTCTATTGAGAACAAATTGGAGCAAATCAGATAACAAATTGAACAAAAATCCGACAAGCCTCAGAAAAGATCCATCTCCCAATGAAATGCAGTGTAACAACTAAAGAAGATAACTCAGAGCATCATTCTCTCCTAGATGCTAACTGACGCTAAGCTGTGCTAGAAGCAGAACTGGGTATTCATCTTAAACCAGATTCACCTTTAACATCTCAGTATTTAATTACAGTTAATAGAAATTTTTTTTCAAAATCAATGCCTTGCAACTCTGGAACTGTACCAATTAGCCTGGTGGAGAAAGAATCTGGGTTAAGATGCATGCTCAGAGTAGGATGGTACTAAGACTTCCTTGCACTGCATTTAAGAACATGAATTTCTTCTCGTTTACTGCTGGTTTACAACTTTCACTCCTTGTTCAAATCATGTGGATGCATGCTGATAGGAAACAAGCAAAGTACACTAGAAATGTTTCATTCATTCAGAGGTCAAATGAAGGAGCAAACAGAAGAAAAACAAAGAAAGAATTTAAGCTTTATCAGAGGAAGCACTGATTATTGTGCGCCGGATGAGTTGTAATAAATTAATGAGGTCTGGAATGTAACTTAAAGTAGCTCTGCTCATCTTGATTTTTATTAAGATAGGGTGTCCTATAACACTACATAGCTTTATAAGTGGCACAAAGCTAACATGAGAATGTTCATGATACATACAGTTCTGAAAAACACCTAAGTGACTTAGGTACTGTAGCTATTTTTCAAAGAATTACACTCCAATTTTTTTCAAAGGACAGAATGTAGCTGTGCTGTATAGTGTTTACTCAGAAAGGAAAAACATATATTGTCTTTAATCTGTCCCATGATTAAATTGGAGTTGATCTACAATGTGGAAACAAGTCATAAGTGTCTTTGAAAATTTTAAACCATTATTTTTTTCAACTGTTTTCTCAAAGTCTCAAATATTTTAACTAGAAATTTTTAATTCAACCATTCCCATTTTCCAGTCTTTGTGCCCTTTTTCCTTTCCATGTTATTATCCCCATTTCTTCCTATTTTCAATTCTCTACTGAAAAGCAGATTAGGAAAAGAAAAGAAAAAAATAAAGAATGAGGGAAAAATAAAACTGAAAAATGGGTCTGGGTCAGAAACCAAAAAGTATAACTTGAGAGGCAGGTTCAAACAGAAATCTTGTGTTTAAGAAGCAGCTGTCAGGTCTAATGAAATATGTTTCATTGAAACTGGGTGAATGTGCATCAAGCCATGCTAGGAAAAACAATCACTTTTTTTTTTGAGCAACACTAATGCCAAAAAACAGGGACAAATCTTCAATCATTTTACTGTGTATGAGTGTTCAGAAAGCCACTGAGTCTGTTCAAAACAGGTAACAGGGAGTAAAAATGTATTAGTACCTAGTACCTTAGAAAAAATGTGATTATTTATGATATGTTCAGCTCAAAACTGAGCTACGTTAAGTTAAAAAAAAAAAAAAAGTGAATTTCTGGGGAAAAAAGAATTGAGTGAAGGTAATTTCTGAACCCGGAGAAAACAGATGGATACTATATTTAAAAAATAGACTTTAAAATGTTTTAATGGGTCTTTGTTGAAGCTCTTTGGGCATTATTTTGATTCTGCTTCTATTAGAATACTCAGAGTAACTCTACAGGGCATGGGAAACATCTCTGGGTTTGTGCCCTGTGAATGAAGATCCAGTGCAATGGAGGTAAAGCTGCTATTTTCCTGGTATCAGATGTGTCACTTTATCACCACCTGATGCAGGAGAGCTGGGAAATGAGCCCTGATACAACCACTTAAACAATGTCTCTAAATTTCTTTGATGCTGGTGGGAGATCCTTTAATTTAATTTGTGTGCTTGCATCAAAAGGCATGGTGGTGCCAGCCTGCTCTTACATTGCCAGGTAGTTAAGTGCTTTCCTTAATCAAGGCCTAAATGCAGATTTCTGCAGTATGTGACTAAGGTTCTTCCTAGGGAAACCATCAGGAAACTTTCTTTTTGACCTCAGTGCTCTTCGGTCTGGCCCCAAGAGCTGGCAAAGCAGAGTCTATAGAAAAAAAATAAAATAGGATCCTAGAAATTTAGGGGTTGGATTGGACCTTAGAGATCGTCTAGTCCCAATCCCACCTGCCAGGGACAGGGACACCTCCCACCAGAGCAGGTTGCTCAAGGCTCATCCAACCTGGCTGTGAACACTGCCAGGGTTGGGGTTGGCTGTCAGACAAGAGGAGAAATTAATAAACATTTCTACAGATTGGGTGTGAACACTTTAAGGCTGGACCCAAATTTCCTCACTTTCAATTTGTACCCATTGCTCCTTGTCCTGTCACTGCAGCTCCTAACACAGAGTCCCTCTCCAGCTTTCCTGGAGCCCCTTCAGATCCAGGAAAATTGCTCTGAGGTCTCCACACAACTTTCTCTTAAAATAAGGCTTTGGTTTGGTTTGGCATTTTTTTCCCAGCTGACGTTCAGTGCAGCAAACTGGGTTGGATTTTTTTATCTGTTTCTTTTTTTTCCCTTCCTGAGGATGACTGACTTCTGAAGTGTGTAAGTGACAAACCAAAAAATCGAGTGCCACAAAATAGAACTACCTCCTGGAATGACACTAGTGCATATATTCTGTATGCTGCCATGCTCTTCCTATTCTCCCAGCAGATTCACTGCAGAATTAGTGTGATATTAATGTCTATTGTGAGGATCATAATTGCTTCCAGATGGAATACAGTGATTAATAGGTATTTAAGGGTACAATTTGCCCTTTAAGTGGTTAGGTACAGTGATATTTTAATAGGCCCCCATTAGGCCTCGGAAATTACAGTTACACTTCTTTCTAATAGAATATTGGCAATAAGGGATTCACTCACCATAGCTCAGAGTTTCATATGGTTACAAAATAATGTTTTTAAAGCTGCTTCATATACCATTAATATGGTATGACTGTTTAAGGGATTATACTTAAACTAACATTTTTCCTGCTGCATGAGAACATCAGTATATACACAGTAAACTTCTGTCAGTGCATAACTGGTCCAATCTTCCATGCTTTAGGAGCCTTTCCCAATGCTTTAGGAGCCTTCCCCCATGTATAGAGTAGTCAGAAGCCACATGCTCAGCTGGTATAAACTAATGTAACTTCTTTTCTGTCCATTTAGCTACTGTGGTTGATATCACCTGAGAGTTTGGCCTTAAATGTACAGACTAGACAAACTGCAATTTTTATTTGTTTTAAAGTAACCCTCTACTGTAGGTAACACCAAAACTTAAGACTGTAATATTATTTGTGCTATTTAATACTTCCTATTTTGAGGATTACTAAATAATGTATATAATTTTATTCCTTTAAAAAAAAAAAGAAAAGAAATACAAAAGCAAAATGACTTCTAGGCATAACTTCACCAAATGTAAAGATATGTTCTCTGCTAAGAACTTCACCATGATATTTTTTGGCTATTTTTATTCTGTGTAGGTTGTAAAGTTTGCTGAAATCTTGACCTAACAATGTGTTCTTTGCAATTGTCGTTACTGTAGATATGTGTGTTTTATTAAGAAAATCTTGTTTCTCAAAGTGTAGGTATGTGTATAAGTTCCTAGCATGATGAAACTGTTATTACAGTGAATATGCATTATATAGTGTGTAAGAAAGAACAAAATGTAGTTTAACACAGTGCTATTTAATTGAATATCTAAAATGCTATTTGCCTGACAAAATAAAGTGTGTTGCAACATCTTCAAAAATCTGTTGTTTTCCCCTTTATAGATATCTGTTAAAAATAAGGACCTTTTCTTATAGAAAATATAATCTGAAAATCAATCCCATAGACTCTATTAAACAAGTCCAAGATAATACTTGGAGCATCAGATATTGCAGCTGGTCCTGTACTTTGGCCATAACA